AGTTTAAAAGAGTTTTATCAAGGGTTTAAGTTTTGTTTAAAGTTTGTTTAAGAAGCTTTTAAGCAATTGAGAGTTTGTCTTTGCGAAATCAATTCCACAAGAGCTTGAGGAAATCATCTATTAGTGTTTGAGCATCCAACTATTCTCCCTCGACCTCTTGATCTATTGAGAAGTTTTCTAAACTCTATTTCTAGCTCTTTTATATATTTAATTATCATTGTTATTAAGCTAGAACTATATTGAGTTTAGTTTTGATTTATATCTCTTTGTTCACACATAACCTACTGAGCTTATTGTATTTACATTCATAGTATAATTTGGGATTATGGATTTGTGACTAAGAGTTGTGCCTAATTTAGTCCTCGCCTTGTTTAGAGAAAATTAATTTGTTGTAAGCTTAATTTGTGAGGATTCACTTTGTATTACACTAGTACACCGAGAGGAGTGTGTGGTGAGAGACGGGGTCGTTTCCAAGAAGAGTGGTGTCGGTTGACGAACCTAGGGAGAGGTTGTATCGGAGCACTTGAGAAAGGATATGGACTAGAGACCAACACTTAGAGAGTGTGTAGTGTAGTTACATTGTGAGATTGTGATCGTTGATCACTGAGCGTTGAAAACCGATATTATAAGGTGTAAACGTTATTCAGGTGAGCATAGAAAACCCAGTTATGATAGTGGATTTCTCCCTGGGAGTGGGGAGCGGAGACGTAGGACGGAAGGTCCGAACTCCGTGATCATATTATGTGTTCGCATTGTTTATATTGTCCTATCAAAATTGTATCTTTAGTTTAGATTGTTTACCCTTGTGTTGTTTATATATCCTTACATATATTTCACCATATAGGATATATCTTTTTGTACATATTTCATATTCTTGCTCATAATATATTGTATATCTATCTTGCAAGAATAATTTGATAATAAGTTATAATTGGCAGAAAATCGGATTAGATTAGCATAAGACCCTAATCACCCCCCAGGGTCTAACATGTTCTTCCATAAATTTTGGCCTTTTATCCAAAATGATGTTATATCCTTCATTCAATCTCTTTTCCATGATGTTAGACCCCTTCACAACATAAAATTTTCTTTTATTTGCCTCATACCTAAGAAGGAAGGGGCTAGCTCTACATCAGACTTCAAACCCATTAGCCTTCTTAACAGTTCTGTTAAGATTTTCACCAAAATCCTAGCCAATCGTCTCAAGCCCCTTATCCCCTCTCTGGTTGATCTGACTCAATCAGCATTTCAAAACGGCAAATCTTCTCTTGACTCTGTTCTTCTAGCTCATGAAATGATCAACAAGTACTCTTCAGGGAAAAAGGAACTTTGCACAATTAAAGTAGACTTCTTCAAAGCCTTTGATTGCGTTAATTGGAGTTTTCTCTTATCTCTCCTCAAAGCCAGAGGATTTAGCCCCAGATGGTGTCACTAGATCTCCCACATCCTTTCCTCCTCAAAATCTACAGTTCTTGTTAATGGTTCTCCAACTTCCTTTTTTCAATGTTACTGTGGTCTCAAACAGGGTGACCCCCTCTCACCTATGCTTTTTCTGTTTGTGGTGGATGTGCTAAATAAGATGATCTCCGACAGCTTCTCTGCTGGTGATCTTTCAGATCTAAATCTCAAAGGAGAACTCAACTCTATTAGGTCACTCCAATTTGCTAATGACACCATCATCTTCTGTAAAGATAACAACAGAGACATTTTCACCCTTAAATCTATCTTGTTCATGTTTGGTAGCATCCCTGGTCTCCATATAAACCCATCTAAATCCACCCTCTTCTACCTTGGAAAAGTTCCTAGCAGAGGTGTTCATTTGGCTAACAAACTCAATTGCTCTAACGGTTCTCTTCCTTTCATTTATCTTGGTATCCCTCTCAAAAGAGGCTCTTTGTCTAGAAGGGAATGGCAACCTCTTCTAGATTCTTTCTCTAGAAAGTTGGCTTTATGGAAAAACAAGTCCCTCTCCATAGGGGGTAGACTCACCCTGGTGAATTTTGTTCTATCCTCTCTCCCATTATAATATATGTCATTTTTTAAACTCCCTAGTTGGTTCCTCAATGTTATGGACAAAATAAGACGTAACTTTCTTTGGGACTCCTACCAACATTCTTCTAAATCCAAAAGCTTGGTTAAATGGGGTACTGTGTGCAAAGCTAAGGTTGAAGGGGAACTAGGTGTCATTAATCTGTAACCATTCAACTTAGCTTTGCTATCTAAATGGATTTGGAAGATCCTTGACAGAAATTCCTATATTGGTAAAGTGATCATGTCTATTTACTCTATTAATAGCTCTAACCCTATATCTCACCCCTTAGATCTTCAGCTTCTAAACTGATTAAGGACTTATTCTCTATTCATGACCCATTCTTTCATTTTGGTCCGATGGAAATTGGGGGATGGTAAACTTTGTAGATTTTGGCATGATAAATGGTCGGGAGACAACACCCTCAGTAGTCTGTTCCCCAGAATGCATCAACTTACTTTTACCAATTCCACTGCCACCAGTTGTCATGGCCTTCTCATCAATATTTCCTAGAAGTGGCACCCCATTATCAGAAGAGTTAATTCAGATGAAGATAGAAATCAGATTGATCAGTTATATCTTAAGCTTGAGTCTGTTAATTCTCCTGTAGTTACCATCAGAGATGAGATTTCCTGGCATCACCACCATTCAGGCAAGTTTACTGTCAAATCTCTCTATTCTATTCTTAACTCAGGAGGCACTCTCTCTCATTTACATAAATTTATCTAGAAGTCGCCCACTCCGCTTAAGGTGAAGATTTTTTTTGGTCCTTGAGTTTGCACAAATTAAACACAAGAGATGTTTTAGTCAAAAAGGGTTGGACAGGGGATACAATTTGCCTCATGTGCAGTTCAGCTACTGAAACCCATGATCACTTGTTCAATGATTGTTCCTTCACCAGATCAGTCTGATCTCTCCTCTTCCCTAATGGTCAGTTTGGTTATTGGCCGCAGGGGATTGACTCCTTTATCACTGCTCAAGGTGACTTCTTCCTCAATAAGAACATCAAATCTCTATGGAAAGTCATCCTTCCCTATTGTTGTTGGTGGTTATGGTATTGCAGGAATAAGCTCATATTCGATAAGCTTCATACTCCTATTCACATCATAGCTGCTAATATAGCTCAATTCACTCTTTTGTGGAACGTGCCTCCAGTAGCAAAAGAGCTTCCCTCATGCACAATGCTGCGGTTGAGCTTGGACTCAAACAGTGGGCTAAACTTGGCCTTGAGGATGATGTTGGAGATAATTTTCCTAGCTAATCCTGGTGCTTCCAAGTGGTGGCTCCTCCAGAACTTTACTTTTTGTTTTTTGGTTCGATCTTTTGTAATATATTAACTATACCCTCATATTTCCCTCTGTTGCTGCTTTCAGTTTGTTACGCTTTCCCCCTAGGAAGTTAGGAGTCAGTGAATAAAATATCTGGTTGGTGACGACAAGGTCCGCTGCCAACAGAGATTTTCTTCTACTGGCTCTTTTTCTTCCTCTTTATGTTTCTATTGTATATATTTACCTCACTTTTGGAGTTACAGTTATATAAATATATGAGCAGGAGTTCTCACCCTGCTTCTTTCTTTTCAAAAGAAAAAAAAGAAAAGAAAAACCCTTGTTTAATTTATACCAGACTAGAATACTCTAACTAAAATCTGTAACTTTAGTTCCCCCCAAAAAACAGCCTTAAACTAGGGTAATTACATATCAACCACATTTCAATTTTAATTTATACATAAACTATCGTTAAAGTGGATTTCATTGCAATCAACAACTTCACAGTCGAAGTTTTCGCAAATAAACCCACAATTACCCTTTGAAAACTCACATTCAAGGCACGTAACTTACTTTTTTAATATTTAGATCTTATTAGGATGCAACTCACGTACCTTAATTAAACTTGAATTTTTAAGCTTATATTTAGTTCTTTTAGTAAAAGCTTGACTGGGAGGTGATTGATTGTAACAAAAAACCACTTTAAAGATGATTTATATACAAATTAAGATTGAAATATGGTTTCTATATGATTATCCTATTTTAAGGTGATTTCTAGGGGAAAAACGAATAACTTTAACATGACATTTTCTAATACCTGTTGTGATTCCTAGTTTGACCTCATCTTCATCTGAAATCTCATTTCTACTCTGTGTAGAAATTGAGTAGATGTATGCTCCTAGAATTGGAGAGAATTAATGAAGTAAAATTTTATTTTAGTGGTGATAGCATATATCTATGCTGTAAACTTTACATGAACATATTGTACATTGATATCTCTTGTTTAGAGAATACATGTCCTAGGTTTTCGAAAGGATTGCCACACATATCTTCATGATCTTTAAATAATGGTCGAAAGACAACCACCCCATTGATATGACGAGATGTCCTCGCATGTCACCTCGTGACTAACGTATAAAACTGAGAAAGAAAGAAGATGACAATTGTATGTTTGTCTCTATCTCTTTAATCTCTACATAAGTGCATATATATAAAGTTTAGGATAAAACTCTAACCCTTTTGGATTAGGAACCGATTCACTAAAGGACTAGTTTTGGCCTACTTTGGATCCACCCGCTAATTAGGCGGATGTGATATCTTAGTTCTTTTTTATTTTGATAATCGGGTACCGTTATCAGTACCAACCATTGTATCAACAATATGTAGACATGTAACCCAATTGCATGAGCATGATGATTTACCCATGCTTAGATTAAGATGAATAAACCAGATATAGAGTTCACCATACCCTTTAGCATGAAATCTCAATTAACCATGTTTTAAATTTGTATTAAAGTTAATTCAATTTTGATAAATACCTATTTCAAAACCCTCTAAATATCATATTTAAATATGCTGGGCAGCCATGAGTTGAGAGGAACTTTACAAATAAACCCTCTATTTTTCCTTTTACAACATTTATAAGTCATGGGTATAAAAGTACCTAACCAAGACATTCCATTCGTTTCTCTTGCACTATCAAAATTTCCATCTCTCCTCTCCTGTCTCCTTCCCCATTCGGCCAGCCAATATCACAGCCTCCACTCTCCCAAATCTTTCCCACTAATCCCTCTCTCAAGTTCATTTTCTCAAGCTAGAAGGAAGAATGAAGTCTAGGATCCATCAAGGAGTAACCTTGGGGTAAAGAGAGGATCTTTGAGCTTTATTTAGGTATATTCCATTTTCTTCTTTGCCATGATGAGTACCTTAATCTCACATCTAAAATTGCCAAAATTTAGTGCTAGATTAATCATGCAAACATCAATTCTTTAAAAAATATACTTGCATGTGGTAATAAATGGTGAATTTGTGCTTGCATATCACTATGGAGTGTTAAAGTTTCATTCTTTATTCATGATATTGGATAAAACATGATCCTGCATAAATATTTAGTTTCAAATTGTGGTAAAGGTGGTTTTTGGCCCTGGTTGTGAGTTGCATGCATTGTATGTCTGAAGGAATAGATTTCCATGTCGGTTTGGGTAACATATTTTCATACAAATTTTCTAGTAAGAACACCCTTTTAGTATTTTGAGCATAACGTTTTATATACTTATCCAATTCTGGAAAAATTAGATTTTTAAGAGACTAGACTCATGTAATTTTTAATTGATTCTAGTTTAGACTAATTTGGATATACATTTGCTAGTTTAAATATATGATTAAAGTCAATGCATGTGTCCTGAACAGATAGTTTGACCCTTTCTGATTTAATTGCTTATATCTTTACCTATGGTTGAGATATGATTATAAGGGATTTTTTTAATAGACACTATACTTATCAAACTTCTTTTAGTAGGAAAATTATCAAGTTTTAGTGAATTTTTGTTAAGCAAAACTAGTGGGAGATTTAGGACATATATATGTTTTCTGTATATTATTATATGATGATGCTCATGCAACTATAAGACCATATATCCTATATATTATCATTTTTTTTTCAAACTAATTGGTGTTTCAGAAAATAGACTTGCATATAGATATTTTAGCTCTAGTTTAACTTAATTCGGATATCATTTGGAGCCTAAATTAGCCATTTGCATCTTCCTATATAATATGTATTCTAGTCTCTGCATGTCATGTATATGTATGCATAATTTTCCTTGTCTATGGTCACCTAATTGATGTAAAGCTTAATGTTTTATGAAGTAGACTCATATCTGAGTAAAATAACGCTATTTTTACATAATTTGAACCTTATTTAGCTAACAATTTTGCCATCACCAATCATGACACAAATTGCTGCCTTTGCTGTTTATTCGATCATGTATGGCATATTGCTTCATTTGCATCTTTGTCAAGCCTGTATATAACGTAGGCGTGCAAACCCTTACATGAATGTACATTATGTATATATAGGAGAACTCACCCTCTTGGAACTATTTGACGGCGTCGAGGAGTTTATCACAAGACATAGGTAACATTTCCTTATTCCTCTCAATTCATCGAGTGTTCGGTTGTTTATTTTCTTGAAAATCCTATAAGTTGAATTTTGATACTCAGTTGCATGCTCTTTTGCTTCAGCAAAAGCTTACTTGGATTACTTCATGTGTGGACTGATTTACATTGCTTATCTATTGCTATACCATCGTTCATTCATTTTAATACTATGCTATTGATTCCATAAATGATTATGTTATGATAATTCATCTTGCCTCGATGACTCCATTGTTGAGAATGATAGTATTCTTTCATTTGCTAGCTTGTTGATACTCTATATTCATGGATTATCCCCTATGTTGAAGTAAGCTTCACCGGTGGTTAGTAAATGAAAGTGGGTCATGTGGGGGACATGTCCTGTGTGAGGATGCTCACCGATAAGTGTATAAATGAAGGCATGCATGGTTTATTGATATATCTCGAGATTGTAAAAATTTAGAATCCTGAATATTAGAGCTTGTTTATTTATTATTGACATCCATAATTTTATTTCGACTGACAACCATATTATGAGCATTGGTAACTTATTTGCTGATATTTATTCGTTTCAATTTTGAATGTCTATATATAGTCCTTTTTTCCTTTGTAGACAGTCAAAATATGCAATCTCTATCCAGGATTAATACTTAGTAAAGATAATACAAATCTAATACTTGAGTCCAACATGAGCTTAAGAAGTGAACGCCCATGGACTAAATACTTAATCAGATCAGAATGGCTCAAATACAAGCCATAGCCAAGCTTGCCCAAGTCATGACAAATCTTGCTCCCAAGACCAAGTCAAAGTGAAGCTTCAAGCATAGTTCACCCAGAACGTGCTTAGGAAAGTTTACCTAGAACGAGCTAAGCCCAAATACTCCACATGGGCCACATCACCCACATTTTGGTGATGTTCACTAGAATGAACTTCGCCCATGCCTGTTATTGGTGAACCTCACCTAGAGCTATTTTATGTGCTATTTTTGAGGAAATAGTTCACCCAATTATCTCCCAAGTTAATAGACATTAACTCATATTTAATGGCCACTAATTTTCTCACTTAGCCTATAAGAGGAGGGGAGATTGCCCATAATTGGGAATAAAAAAGAGATAGATCAGAGATCAGAATTTGGCTAACTTTGGTAAACTTGGAACTTTGGCATTCCTTTGTCAAAGAAAGAAGACATTGGCCATCTTTAGAAATTAGCAAAATACTCATTGTCTTGCTCGAACCATCAACGGAGCAGAAGGACGACACTCCATGGGCATACAAAATAGAATCTACTTTATAAATTTTTCTATGCTTCTAAGTTGTTGAAATTATAACTCTTATTTGTAAGTTGTCAAATTTAAGACCCGAAATAGGATGGCGACTTCGCTGGGGAATTCCTTCTCAACTGACGAGAAGATGGTGTCACAGTCCGATAACAAGGCCTTAGGGTCTATTGTTAAAACCTTGGTCATTGATTTTGACCAGCAAAATCTGAGGAGTTCATTTCCTCTGAGAAGTTGCTTAAGGCCACTATTAGGAGTTGCCGTAAGATCCGCTATAATGTGAAGATGGGGCTAGATTTGACCTCACTCATAGCAAGGCGAGCTTCACTGATAGTAGTCTTGGCTTTGCTGGAAGCTAGACAAACTTTCCTCAGAGTGAAGAACCATCGACCCTTGCTCGAATGAAAGTCAAGACGTTTATACATTTCTTTATTTTGAACTTTAGTCCATATTCCCTCTGAGGGTCCGCTTTAAAGCATCTCGCGACGATCGTCATGCTTCTCTAAAAGAAGCCAACAATGGGGGTCATCCTCCATCCATGATCCCACAAGGGAAAATTATACCATTGCTGATTCTTCGTTTCAATCACAAGCTCTTACTTGTGATGAAGACTCAATTGACTACACTTGTCATAGGTCAAAACAATATCATCAAAGGCGATGTTCATTTGTCGAAAGCCAAGTATGTGAAGTTGCTAGCAAGAAGAGAGATCATCATTTTAGCTAACTCGAGACTCCTGATCTAAGGGAGTTCCTTTCCCTAAAGAGGGTGCGTCAATATCAGCACTGTGTGACTCTAAAAGAGATTGTCACAGCAGCTCAAACCAATTTCCAATGTAAATCCCCACTTGCAAAAGAACTAGTGTATAGCCATCTCAGCCTACTCTCAAAGCCTTTATAAGATAGGAATAAACGACAACGACACTCCTAAAAGATCAAAGCTGATCTCCAAGAGTTCATGGTCAATATAACCAGTGTGACCAAGGAAGAAGGTGAAGAAGGGATTGATAGTCCTTCTAATTCAAGATATTCTCCCGGCATAGGGAATATACGTTTAGAGACTGACAATGATAATCGATCTGTAACAACCGTAAATTTCTGATGCGTATTTAAATAAAATTTTCTAGTATTTAAAATATTAAATATTATTTTAAATGAAGAGCATTAACTTTTTCCCAATTCTCTAGAATCTTCTATGATTTTTTTTAAAATGTATAATAATAGTGGTTATTAATATTTGGTTAATATTATTATTTGGTTAATTATCACTATAAATGTTGATATTATTATGTACATAGTATTAATATTTCGTTGTCACACTATCTCACATTAATCACATGCATATTCTCTCCCTTTCCCCTCCCATAACCACCCCATATTGATTTCCTTCCTTATTTCCCTCCCATTATCACGTTCTCCCTTGATTTCCTTCCTTTTCCCCTCTACGTTCTCCCCACACTCCCTCAGATTCCCTCCCTCTCCTCTCAACTCTCTCCGCTCTTTTCCAGATTCCCTCCCTCTCCTCTCAACTCTCTCCGCTCTTTTCCCCCAAGAAACCCACACCAGACCCTCTCTCCTCTCGTTTCTTTTCTCTTCCCCTTCAAAGAAACAACTCTAGTAGCACTCTCTACATCACTCACCGCCCTCAACCTCTCCCTCCACCCAACATCGCCATCAACACCCTGCTCAGCCGCCGTCGTTGCAAGCTCCCCAGGTCCGAGCATACCCCTTGCAACTCCCCTTGCCGTCACCGTCACTTTAGTGACGCCCAGCCAGCGTCGATGCCTCCTCCCTCACCCTCGTCATCAACCTCGCGCGCCAACACCCGGCCACCCTTTGACCAACCACCGACTGCTAAAACTCCAACCACCATCTCCACCATCAGCCCTGCCTGAGGCCTGGCCCCTACCAGCCGCCATGCCAAGCCCCCTCAAATGTAGCAGCCCCCGTCCATCACCCCTGCTCCTCTTCATTGTTGCCTCGACCATCGCGCCCCTATAGCTGCTGCAACTCTCCGACCGTCGCTCCAGTATCCCTCCGTCGCCACGTCCACAGGCCCTTTGGCCCGAGGCAAGATCCCGCCCCCCTTTAACTCGTCATTTTATATATATATCTGCTATGAATTATATGCATAGATTAGATTGTGATTTAATTATATTGTAGTATGAATATTATGATATTATGCATGGATTTGTTGTTGAATAGTATTAAATAATTTTAAAGGAACTTATTTTGTAAAAAGGGTTAGTTTTGAATTATTATGATAATAAATATTTTAAAAGAGATTATTGTGTAAAAGGATTATTTGAATTAATATGTTTATTATTTTAAAAGACTATTTTAGCATTATTTATATGAGAGAATATTTAAAGAAAATTATTTTTGGAAAATAGATTATTTTAAATTAAAATAATAAGAAATAATTTAAAGGACTTATTTTGAAAAAAAAAAGAAAAAAAAGATTATTTGAATTATTAAGAAATAAATTTTAAAAGAATTTAGTTTGGAAAAAGAGTATTTTTGAATAATTATTATCAGATATAATTTTGAAAAATAAATTATTTTGCAAGATCTCTTTTCTCATTTGACTCGTCATTACATGCCATGATATTATTGCATAGAATTAATTGCATTTATTTCCTTGTTATGTTTGAGAACCATTAGTAGTTCATGACTTAGTGACTTTGCGCATCATGAACAAGACTTAGTGACATTTGTGGGTGCGTTGACCATACTTAAGGGGTGAACCAGTGATCTATTATAGGCTTAGAAACACAAGAGATGTTGGGGGTGGGAAAGTCTTGGTTCACATGATCGTATGTGGTTGTTGATTATCTTCCAGGCTCGCACCAGTGAATCGTTTCTCATTGGTGTTAGTCTGTTAGGCCAGTGAATCATTTCGCACGTGATCAGTGAAATCGCTTCGTCACCCGAGTTTTGCTTGAGTTCGGACTAGGCTAAAATCAGATTGCGTGTAGTCCTCTTATTGAATCGTTTCGCGGTATTGGATGCGTGTAGAGGATCGTGAACAGTCAGTTATCCGGTAATGCGAACTTTGACCTATTCGAGATGTGGATCTGTGAGCTATTTTAGGATGGCTAGTACATGATCTTGTTATTTGTAAGCTGTTGGCTCCTTATGATTATTATACTCTAGTGGTGGATTGCATCTACATTGTTAGATTTCAAGTTGCACGTTTCTATTGTCATTACTGTTGTTGCATCTTTTATTGCGTTGATCATTCGATCGTTCTATTCTTTCTTGTGGGATCTTGTCGTGTGCCATATACGCTGACGTATTCCTATTTCTCTTGGGTGTACGTCTGATTTAGAGGATGGACAGGTCTAGTATGGTGATGCATTGGAGCCGGAGTATTCCCAGCCGGAGTGTCTTCCAGATGGAGCAGAAGAACAAACTAAAGCTTAGCCATTTTCTTTTCTATAGTTGTTGATGGACACTAGATTACTTTTGTAGTTCTTTCTCATTTAGTTTAGTTGATGTATTTTTATGACTATCCAGTTTTAGTTGTACGTTTTGTATCAGAACATGTTGACTCGTATATGATGTCTTGGATGATATTTCCCTTGTGATATGTAACATGTTGTTCTGGATTGTTTATTATATTCTTGCTAACTATGATCAGGGACCTGTGACTTGTATTATATTGCTTGACGCTTAGTGTACTAGATTGAGAAGAAATGGTCTATTATTTATTCTTCTCAATCTAATATATCGCGGGCTTGCTCGCGTCCCGTTTCTTGGGTATTGTTGGAAGCGGGGCATGACACGATCTCCTTTGATTATTCCCTCCTGAGGATGCATGCTCCACAAGTTTCCTCACAAGTGGACCACCTTTCTACTAGCGATACCAATTCTGCTATAGCGCCAAATGCAACTCCTGGCTCAAGTCAAGAGTATGTGGACGTGGATTGTAGACATAGGGATGAAGAGGCCCGCGATAACCTTATTCGATGGGTCGAAGCCCGAAATAAGGGCATATAATGAGCTCTTCAAGCAACTTGAAAATATACTTCAACAGTTGTTTCTTACCTCTCAACCCCCCTAAGAGCTCTTCAAAAAGGAAGTGACTGCTCGTTGAGAAGGTGCCGTCACACTAAGAAGATGCTCTCTCTCTCTCTCTCTCTCTCTCTCTCTCTCTCTCTCTCTCTCTCTCTCTCTCTCTCTCTCTCTCTCTCTTCCCCCTCCCTCTCTCACAATCAGAATCTAAGGTGTCAAGTCAACAAAAAATGAAGCATGAAGTGAATGTTCTCAAAGACCTCCAGAACTAGCTTAATACTCTTACATAGTGAACGGAGCTAAAAAAAGTTACGATCATCCGACGTTATCCTATTGAGTGGGACTCAGTTACTTACCCAATAAAGTTTAAGTCATCGATATTATATACATTCCATGACAAGGGATCTCCTAACCAACACATCTTATACTTCCATTAACAAATAAGAAATGTAGTAGGAAATAATGCCAACAAGGCAAGACTCTTCATTGACACCCTTAAGGTAGTAGCTCTTGATTAGTTCTAGAATATGGCCGAAGGTTGCATCAAATCTTAGGTTGATATAGACTCACAATTCCTATCTTAATTCCATGAAGAGCAATCTGATGTGCACATGGCCAATCGCATTTCCAATAAGTAAAAAGGTGAAAACTCTGTCAGAGATTATACAAATGGTTTCGCAATTTGACATTGCGATGTTGCGGTAGGCCACTGTTGATGTTGCTCTAAACTTGTTAGCACAACTTCTTGAGTTGGATAAAAGCTCACATAGGCACTGTCAAGGCTAACTCGTGGAAAGATTTGACAAAGCAAGTAAAAATTGCTGAGATATTTACCAAATGCTTTAACAAATTTGATCCTCGCTCTAATAAAGAAAGGGATAATAATAAATCGAGATAGTCATCCAAATCAAAATAACAGGAGACATTTATTATTGAGGTAGAGAAACCTGATAAATAGAACAAAAAGACTCTCGAAAGAGTTCCTAGCAGAACTATTCTTTTAAAGATGAGCACACTGTTGTCATCTTCCACGTGCTCAACAACTGTTATCACCTAAAGCTTCCAAAGGCTCTACGCTCAGAAGAAGTTGAGAAGACCAATGATCCTAATTATTACCTCTATTACAGAATGTTGGGACACATGATGATGAGGATCATCAAGCTTTGACCTGAGCAGAAGAAGGTTACTGCCAACATAGTAACCCTTTGAGTCGACTCTATACTGGAGACACAAGTGTAGAATGAGGTCACCCCTATTCTCATCACAAGGATAGAGCTGGTCAATCATGATCGGTAAGTTCGTCAGAAACAATGCTTTGTCTATCTCACAAGGAATAAAGGAGAGGTTATGTGAGTTCATCTTGATCTTCTCCAAGATGAACATTGGAATTCTCTCAAACTAATACCCCATGCAAAGACTAAGGGCGAGGTAGAGACTTGCAACATTATCTATGCAATTATAGGTGAGGAATCTTTATAGGTCTCCTCAATGATAGATTCAGAGGAAAATAAAGTGGCCATGGTGGTGCAACCGGGCGAGGCTTCACCTATAGGAATGAGATCTAGCAAGGACTACTTAAAAGAAGTATGACCAACCAGGACCTTCCAAATAGCCTGTGACTACCAAACATAAAGAAACACTATTTAACAAACCATTGAAGCCACCATTTCTAGACTCAAAGTTCCATCCAATATGATATATTTGCCCAATTGGCCAATATCCCGACTCGTATAACCTTACATGAACTTCTATGTTTGCTTAAGATTTTGAAGAAGGCTTTAAGGGGAGCACTGATGAACAATGAGACGTTCCTTGCTCATGTGCTCGAGCCTCCTCCAATTGTTGATCAAAGGCAATGCTATCAATATCATCAAGAGGTATAACAAATGCCTTTTACCACCTTCACTTTTGAAGACATACTTATCAAGGACCATTCTCACAATCGAACCCTCTACTAAACGGGATATAATCCATATCGATCTAAGATTTTCCTTAAGCATTATCCTTTGGAGGCTTCTTAGCCTCTTGGGCATCCCACTATATCAAGAATTACCGCTACCATCTTTAGATTCAATTCCAACAATAGCTGGTCATAGGGAAAAATTTGTCTCAAGTGCCAGCTTGGTAACTTAAAGACAGAGGTAACATGCTACGTTATTGATGTAGAAATACCCTATAATCTGCTTTTGGGACGGTCATGGATCCATTCAAATATAATTGTCCCATCAACACTTCATCAGTACTTCAAGTATATCAATTATTAGGGGGTGGTAACAAAGGTTTATGCTGAGAAGAGTCCCATAAAAGAAGTGGAGAACTAGTTCACCAACTCTCTCCTTTATAATAAAAAGTAGAAAATCGAGCTATCTAGAAGATCTTGGTAGTGCTAATGCAGCGGGTAGCAAACTCGAAAAGGACAAAGATTCCATTTGGGAGATGGAGCCCCTTGTAATCACCTTGGAAGATCTTTATACAGACCAGTAAGTCAAACATCAGGGCTAATGGGTTTTTAATAGTAACATAGAATTTGCTTACGGTTGTTCTTCCTGCTCTGAGCATGAAAACTCAAAAGCTGATGCTTTGCTTTCTAGATTAGCTTTAGAACCATCTTTATACATGCCCGTAAATGAGTCACATTTGACTTGCAAATAGTTGTGTAGCTCTGAAGTTGCTCTCTTCATTGTTCCAACGGAGGAAAGCACTCAAGAGACTATCATCTTTGAGAAAGTTGAACCAAATGCGCATCCACCGGTCTCAGATGATGAAGTTGAAGAACACCCAAATTCTCTCATTACAGTAAGCAATCTCATCACATAAAGGCGAGATGGGTTATGATTTCACCCTAAAGTAATGGTTAAATTACAACCGAGGACGACGAGTTTCACTAACCCCTTCATACCGAAAGGGGGAAGTATCGATTACATCAACTGAACCAGATATGGGCTCAAATATGTGTCCCCAGAATCCGCTATGCAGACAGAACCAAGGTTTGATAACTTACCAAGACATTCTTTAGATACATCTTACCGGGATTTTGATGTTAGCGTTAATACCATGTTCAAAGAATTCACAGTCAACATGTCTTCATATAGTCAAACCGAAGAGATTAATGAAGCAGAAGCATTCGACAACCCAGAAAATGGTCCTTGGGCAAAATACCTTAAGACCTAGTGAGAATCTCGTTTCGAACCATGCAAGCACCTAACTAAAGATAAGGTAGTCCAGATGATGTATTGTGAAAATAGTGTCAAGTTGCAAGTACACAACCAAGTTATAGTATAGTGCAATGTCAAACCCATGAGGAAGGTGTGTATAGGAAAATCCTAAAAATAATCCTAGAAAAGTATGTGGACAAAGAGGAGTAAAAGTGTAGAGATATAGAGAGTGTGTGATTATTTGCAAATAAAAGGAAACTAGAACAAGAGGGGAGAAAGAGAGTGAATAAATAAAAGAAAACAAAGAATAAACAAGGAGGAGAAATAAAGAAAGAAAAGAATAAAACCAAGATGAGAAAAAATAATAAAAAAGAGGAAAATCAAAACAAGTTAAAGATGGAGAAAATCAAGTAGAGAAGATATTAATCTAAAATTAAACCCACTAGTTAATTTTATTTAGGACTTAAGCTACGATCGTTTTATCATATGTTAATTTAGATTTACTAAACATAGATTATCAAACCACTTAAAGAAAGTATAACCTATCAAATTATTATACAAGTAAAATTCCCATTAATACAAAAATAAGCAACTAGATATAAATTCTAGAATTCATAAGTATAACTTATCAAATCACTTAAGATAAATATGGATTATCAAATTCTTCTTCTATCAATTAGTCTCTAGTTGATTATCCTAAGCATAATCATTTTGAGAATAAAGAGAGTAACCCACAAATCATAAATAAATCAAACTAGTTTCATATAATTCTAGAATTCTTACAAAATTTAGTTACTCATTTTACAAAATAAAAGAAGAAAAATAAAATCTAGACTACAAAGCACCAAAGAAAAAGATCTAAATAAAATAAAATAAAAACTAGCTATAAAAGTAAGAATAATAACAAGGAAATAAAAATCTAAACAACGAGCATAAAGAAAATCTAAATAACAAAAATAAAAAGCATAAAAAGTAAATATACACTAAAAAAGAATATGATAAGAAAATAAATTCTACAAAGCAATAAAATAATAAAACAGGGTGAAAGTAAATCTATACTATAAGGCATGAAATTTATCTAATATGCCAACATAAAAAATAAAAATAAACTAAAACCCTAAAATATAAATTTCTAAAGTAAGAAAATAAAAGATAAAAACTTACCTTGCAAAGGATTGACACCTTGAAAGCAAATCTTCATTTTCATCATCTTCATCAAAAAAGAAGAAAAAAAAGTTAAAACGAGGAATTTTTTTATTTATTACAAATTCAAAAAGCTTATAAATTGGAAGACCAAATTAAAGGCTCTCCT